TGCAATCCACCTGCTCGCTTCTGCTTTTCGATCATTTTTTTCCCTTGCTTTTTGACCAGACAATTTCCACTTTATTTTTGGCCACACAAAACTGAAAATAATGCCTGCCTGCTCACACACATTTTAAATATGTGGCTTTGGCATCGTTATTTTTTGGAAAAACACATCAAAACTTTCCTTGTTTCTTTGCTCTCTGCCCAAAGCAGTTAACATTGCATTAACATAGCGTTTTTAACGCAACTGTTTCGATAATCATTGTTGAAACATGTTGTGGAACTCGGTTCTTTCACGTAACAAGAAGTCACAGTTCAACTTGAGTCCATGAACGGTGTGAAGTGTCATATTCTCAAATTTTCGACCAGTCATGTGCCAGTGTTTGGGTGAGGCATCTGTGTATTCAATAAGCGAGTGAGAAAAGAAAGCGATAGAAATGTGGTCGCTTTCCGGACGAAAATTAGGCGATAAGCGTTGATTAAAAAATGATAAAAACGGGAGACTGGCCGCAATGAGTACTGTAGCCCATTCATAGTCTGACAAGCATTGTCAAGTAAGAATATGGTAGAAAGAGTTGGTAGTACATGCGGGGAGGGAGTCTAGAGAAGGAACAGCCAACCCTTTTTTACTTTCATACATGTAATATTATGCTTTGAGGGCTGCTGAGTCAAAAAAGAATGAACCAAATAGCATGCGTTAGAGACATACTGTACCATACTGATAGCACAAAACAAACACCAGACACCAAAGATAAAAATCGCAGAAGCGATCACGGTATGGTGACGTGTTTCTTCCTATTAGTTTAGATATCACAACAGTTGAATAATTATCGTTTGGCTCTGATTGAACTGAATCAAACTCTGGCAGATCTCGGCTCTCGTTCGACCCTCCACCGTGTGAACGCATTGGAAATAATCTTCTGTTAATCCATGGGAGGAACAGTAGTTCGGCTCCGATAGAATGCTGCCGTGTGAACATAGCAACTGTATGCAGAATTTGGCTACTCTATTGACATTGGCTGTTTATCTTAATAATTTAGCATTTGAGATGACATGTTTTTACGACTTGAATTAAAATTCAGTTGTAAGCAGAATTTTTCCCATGTGTACTTCATGCCTCCAATACCCTCAGCACACTGGGGTTCTGTCTAAGCTTTCTTCGATAATAGTGGCGTTCACGTTAGAGATCTCAGCACGTGCCGAGATCCTGTAACATGAACGTAGTAAACGTTAAAAATCAAGCATTTCTGCTATCTGGACCTGGAAATGAAGAACAACGTAATTAGAAAGATTAAACTACTCTTCATTTCAGCTTAGTTAATAGGCTTATTTTTTTTGTTTTGATTATTAATGGATGTCTGTGTAGTTTACTGAATAATGGTGTTCCTCTTTGCATTCACAGATGCATAAAATCAGAGGAGCTTCTTATAATTTAGACGTGTCATCAGACATGTGCGGTCATTCAGTCTGTTAGCTTATCCTATCATGTGATCAGAAACATAACACTGCACTGACTTGATGACTGTGTTGAACAGGGCGAGTGCTTACGATCTCTCTTGATTTTATTCATTTTATGAATGCCGCATAGCATCTTTTCACAAATATTAGATCTTGGTAAACATCAACAAATCCTGTTCTGTGACGGACATGTTTTTCACATGTTTTGACCATTCAATCTGTTTTTTCATACCTTTTCAAAAATCTGTGAATAAATTGCAACACATTATCTTTTTGAAAACTACAGTTACTAGATTTTAGTATATTTTTCTACTTCCAAAACTCTTTCTTCCGGGGCTATTATTAGTCCCCGTTATGACGTTCAAAACAGGGACTTATAATTTGGTCTCTGTCCGTCTATTTCAGGATACATGTCTATGACGATTCCTTTCGGGATCGCATCAAAGATGGTCAACTAGCAGCCATTTTATTTTTTGTTCAAATTTAGTACATACTGGTACATTATTTTACAATCAGATCATCTTGCTTTTTGACCATAATACTACTTTGTATATCTCTAAGGCTTTTGGAACATTTTCATTCATATTTGGCACATACATCATACAATTCAGGGATTGCGTTAATCCCATCCCGGACTCCAATTATTGAAGAGGGACCCAGCTTTTCAGGCAAGCTGGGGTCCAATCTCTAATAAAGTTATCAAAGGTCAAATTTCAATTTCTTAAAAATTTGTAAGTGGGACTCGTTTTGCCAAGACATTAGTGCAAACCCTGAATTTGTTTACATTGTAAATATAGGAATACATGTTTAAGTCAGTTTGTTCTATAATCAGATCAAAGATGGCCGACTGGCATCTATCTTGTTTTTTTGGAAAATGTTATTTCTTGGACAGGTTTTGTCGTTTTTTTGTTCAAATTTGATACATACATTATATATTTTAAGATGTATGTCCATGATGATTTGTTTCGTGTTCAAATCCAAAATAACTAACTAGCAGCCAATCTTGTTTTTTCAAAATGTATTTTTCTCTTCAAATTATACATGTTAGGATGCATGTCCATGACAATTAGTTTCACAATCAGGTCAAAGATGGTTGACTGCCTGCAGTCTTGCTTATTGACCATACCACTATATCTCTATACATGAACCCGGACAAAGGAAATTCAGTTTGAATACGAAAAATACATGAATAGTATATCCTGTTTAATTTGTTATTAACAAAATTAACAAATGGTCATTCAAATCAGGAACAAATTCACCAGACACTGATCTTGCAGATGCAATTTTGAAAATAACTGGATTGGTCACATGACCTGTCCGAAAGGGTCCGCAGTTAGGTGAAGGCGTTTGGAAGGTGTCAAGTGTCTGTGTACAAGTATAAAAAGCCGATCGTTTTCGAGTACAGAGCAAATAGCAGCTACACAGATGGAATCAGAAGGTGAATGGACGTTGTTCTTTCTGTTTTTTTTTAGTTCCATGGTCATACATAAACAGCTGTTGGTGCTTTTGGTGCCTACAGTGAACATAATAAAACCATTCTAATGTTTTTCAGATCAGATCCAACATGGCTAAATATTTTATATGTCTCTGCCATGTCTCTGCCATGTCCCAGCCATGTCTCAGCCATGTCTCTGCCGCGTCTCTGCAATCAACCTTTACTGCTACATTGTACACAGTGTTACACTTAACTAACATACATTTGTTTCAAATTTTGATCCAAAATGGTCAACTCATTTCAGTGGTCAACAGGAACTCTATCTGTCTATCATGTCATGATGTGACTTGTTGCAACATTTGTATTATCCCAGTGTAATTTTAAATGTAATTCTGAAACATAAAAATAACGCCAAACACCATGTTCAAATGTGATACAGCTTCTGAAACATTCTACTTGCAACTGTGTTCAATAAATATCTGAATAGAACCATCCCGGAATCAGAATTTCTGAGTAAAGGTCACGTGTTGATTATTATATTGTTAGAGGGCTCACTACACAGATGGAACCATCCCCAAATCAGATTTCATGAGTGAAGGTCACGTATACATGTTGATTATTATATTGTTAGAGGGCTCACTACACTGATGGAACCATCCCCAAATCAGATTTCATGAGTGAAGGTCACGTATACATGTTGATTATTATATTGTTAGAGGGCTCACTACACTGATGGAACCATCCCCAAATCAGATTTCATGAGTGAAGGTCACGTATACATGTTGATTATTATATTGTTAGAGGGCTCACTACACTAATGGAACCATCCAAAATCAGAATTTCTGAGTAAAGGTCACGTATACATGTTGATTATTATATTGTTAGAAGGCTCACTACACTGATGGAATCATCCCCAAATCAGATTTCATGAGTGAAGGTCACGTATACATGTTGATTATTATATTGTTATGAGGCTCACTACACTGATGGAACCATCCCCAAATCAGATTTCATGAATGAAGGTCACTTACATGTACACATGTTGATTATTATATTGTTAGAGGGCTCACTACACAGATGGAACCATCCCCAAATCAGATTTTTTGAGGAACACTGTTCCATGAACTGTCAATATATTTATAGTTACAGAGGCACATTAGCAACATTTTACCTGAGTTCTCAATAATTCTATATCATTGACATATCTGATGAGTAATTGAGTACTGTACTGTTAATTTGAAAAAAAAAAGTTCTACTGTAATAATATGAAATAAATTGCAGATGACTATCAGAAATTTGACTGATGTTTGAAGTCCATTGTCTTTTACATTATAAGCACTCTATGTAAATTAATATTACATATGTTCATCAGTATGCAAATATTATGCTAATTTTTTAATAGGATCTATTTTATTTTTTCTGTTTCTAACACATAATAAATGTAAGCATGGTGTATTTAAAATCTCTGCAAAGTATTATTTTTTTGACTCAAATGTGCATCTATTAGACCTGATTCTTAGATAAAACAAATTACTACACAGTGATATTCATGTGACCTCATTAACAATGTTTTTGTGAGCTAATGAGATTATACACTAAATACCTACTCAGCTGTGACATGTTTCTATGTAATATTAATATACACAATGTAGGAGGTATCTTTTTCTTTTTTCTTTGAAATTGTTATTGTACATGTATCATCAGGCTTCACTAGTTGTTATGGCAACCACATGTACACATATAATGTACACGTCAACTATTGCAGGTTTTACCAAAGCCGCTTAGTACAGAACCAGTAATACCTTGCGGTACATGTAGCACGTTGTTACTGCTGCTGTGTAATATTCCACACTGTATCTTTTTTGGTTAATTCATACATTTGGTACACATACATATGCTAATTACTTAAATCGTCATGTGATAATAGTGGGGGAACATGCTCCATTTGCTGCAGGCCTTTGCTGTGTGTACATGCATGTATTTTAAATCCATGTGTATTCCTGCTAGTTACCTCGACCGCTAGTTTTATCTTGAGACAATGAAAATCGTCATTGTCTCACCAAAAATCTTACAAGACAGGAGAGTCTGCAAAATTATCAACACGCTTGTTTCAGTGAATGCCGAGATTGAGGAAGAGGAGGATGAGGTAAAACAAAATGGCGTAATTCAGATCAGTGTCGCAGATTATAAGGATTGCGATGATGGTGATGTAGAGGTAGTTATGGAGGAAGCATCGTGGCATGATGGTTATCATGGTGCTGATGATGAGCTAAGTATTGATGGAGAAGGAGAGATAGACAGAGATAACAATGAAGAGGAGGTGAGGATGAAGGGTTTCAGATTTCTTGGAGTGACTTAGAAAGATCCAAAAGTAGATAGACTGCATGTTTCAGTATTACCGGTACATACAAATGAGGTGCCAACTCTTAACGTATACTTTAGGAAGAGATATAATGTATATTCTCTGGGTTTATTTTAGCCGTTTGACGTTAACTGTGTGGTGGAAACGTTTTAACATAAATGAATATTTACTAAATTTTATTTTAGTGTATTTACTAGTAACCCAAAATAAAAGTTGGTAAATTATCAATAAATTGAACAAACACATGTAGTATACATTTAATGTATAACATTTTCTATTGACTAATTTGTATTTAAATGAGCATCTTGCATTGTTCAATCATCTTTGTCTGTAATTGGGCAGTTTTGATCTGCTGCATACAAGGACTCTGAGTGCTCACTGTCTGATTATTTAGAATCTATGTCAGTATGTCTTTTGAATTTGTTTTATTTGTTTCTATATTAGGTCATACAATTGTTCTTCTAATTTGTATATTATGCCAGTGATTAGTTTACTTGACTAAGTTTTAATTTATGCACGCTGGCCCAATATATTTATATGTCATTTCTTTGAAACAAGGCCCCAAACCTGAATATGTGAGGTTGTTGGCAAATTCTCTCCATATACTTCATGTTTACCATTCATTTAAAGATACATGTATATTACCGACAATTGTACATATTACAGATTGTATTATACATATTATGTAACCCTTAGATGACATTAAAGTATTCAACATCAACTTATGAACTATAGGTTCCTGTGAGTTGCTGCTCAATGACATGATAACGAGTAACATAGACATCAACAAATGATACATTGTGCTATTACTTACTAAATAATCTCATTATTGGTGTCGGTTGTCGGTCACTTACAGCGCATTACAGTACCCTGGAATTATTTGACAGATAAAAGTAATAAAGCTCAATCTTGTTATAATTTGAAAAATGATAAATCTGTAATGATTTACAATGATGACAGTACATTTTGTACGTTATAAATTTTATTAGCTCTGCTGTTAACTTTGTTGAACGGTGCTCATCATTTGTACATGCAAGTGATTGATTTGTAGTCTGTCATCCATGCAACTTTATATTTTTTTTCGATTTCTGAAAACTACCGGTACATGTACAAGCCTAATTGCTTTGATACTTGGTGTATACATTAATGTATCGTGGGTGGACCTCTCTTAGGTTTGTTCATTTCATCATGATATCTTCAATTCTCTAATTTTGATGAATATTTTTGTCATCTTTGATAAAAAGTAAAATTTTTGACTTCTTGTCACTGATAACAAACTTCCGTACATTGTTTTTCATTTCTAACGTTAATATCTTAGTAAATTATCAATTACCTGTATATACAGGAAAAAGGTGTATAATGATAGGATTATTACAAGAACACTGCAAAATACCGGTATGTACTCTGGCAGTATCGATAGTGTAGACCTCAACTGTCAACTGTGTGTTGACCAATACGATCACCGTACTGTCTGTGTGTACTTTGGGGTATATTCACAACAACCTCATACAATGTAATATTTTAAAACTCAAATGGCAGTTAAAAGGAATAAAGAGAGGCACCCGTGTAGCCTATCCCAGCATTTGAATGCGACTGATTTAAAAAAAAAAAACACTTGAGTTTATAAATTTTGTATAAACATGCCTGTATTACCCGACTTTCGTGTAATAATTGTTTTATACCTGTTTCATGTATTGTCATGTCTTTATAACATTTATTGTATGATCAGTGAGTTATTGCATTGCATTCAACACATGGTACATTCGAGCACAATAGCCTAAATGCACAAGAGATAATCTCCTGTTAATTTCAGCTCTGATAGTATGCTATCATGAAAACCTAGCAAGTGTTTCTACCAAGCACAGGAACAATTCTGTATCTTATAGAGCAAATAAAGATATCATAAAGCAAGTGCTCTGGCCAAATCAATGACCCTGCCCTATGGATTGCAATGTTCTATTTAATATATTGGTGCACTCACTCTACCACAGGAAAATAAATTGTCATGAATACCAGCATATTTATTGTTAAAAGTAAAAATTTGCATATTAGATATTTCTTTTGTCAAAATTAAAACATTCTCTGCATTTCATTTGCAGGTATCTGTCACCATGCCACGAGTAGTAAAACGACGCCAGTGTGACCCTGTCATCTTACAACAACTCTGGGAAGGTATCAGAGTAATCAGGGACCAGAAACAGATTGCTAACTCAGAAAGAATCACCAAATTTATGACCAGAGAGTACACAGTGTCTCCTAAGGAGGTATTGAAACAGTTAAATCATGCGGTGAAGGATGGTTTGATAATTAAAGAGATATCGCGGGGATGTAAAGGATCCAAAGTTGGTATTGAACAGGAGGGATTCTGGTGTATCGAGGAACAAGAAACTCCGGTACATACTGTTTTACTCACAACAATTATTGCCAAAATTCAAAATATTGAAATGTATTCATATACCTTCAGAAACTCACAAATATGTACATGTGTATAGCTCAGATTTATTTACTTCATTCATTCATTCATTCATTCATTCATTCATTCATTCATTTAATTTAATTAAATCTATTATATGAGTTTGTTTTGCTTTGATTGTTTCTGTGATTTGTGATGATGCTTTCTTTACGGCATTTGTTTCTGATAGAATCAGTACAATACATAGAAAAACTGGCAGTAGCCATTCACCTTTCATAAAATATACCTGCAGAATTATTTCAATTTTTATTCCAAAATTTTGTTAAAGACTATGGAATATTACGTCCATTGATTCCAAAATTAACAAAAAATACATAATCAAAATTGACAGGAAAAAATATGGTGCTCAGACAACATACGTTTGTAGAAATCATTTGAGATTGATTCTGACAGTGATTCTAACCATTTATTCTAGTCCCCTGATGAACACGACTGGTACTGTTTTATTTGTCACAAGCCTGGTGAGATCATCCGTTGTCATGGTTGCTTTCGTGTAGCGCATTCTAGATGTCTTGAGAAAACCAATAAGCCGGCTCCAGAGCATGGTCACTGGTACTGTTATGTCTGTGAGGTGAGATTAACTTTTAACCTGCCAGTACTGTTATCATTGTTTGTGCATTGTTCTGGTCATGATGTTTTTCTATATTTCCCCTCAAAGAAAAATGGTTTAAATTGTGTATATATGATATTGTTTACATCTTATTTCATGTATTATTTAATTACAACATTTGTACACTCCCATTTCATGTGCAATTTCCTATAATCTTTTTAGGTTTAGTATGTAAACTTTCTAAATTGTCAATACATAATTTATTTTATCTTTTGATTTAAATGCATCTTTCTGAAATTAGTTTATTATAGATGCTCAGTATTGTATACATTTTAAATTCAATCCAGCACAAGCTGGCGATGGAAAACAATATTTAAAAAACAAAAAAAACAATCTAAATGTACAATGTGTCAATAAAAAAAACAACTACATGATTTCAAGGAAATTCTATTCTGGTAAATCCTTTAATTCTTATGTTTCACATGATCAACCGCACGCATTCACAATAATTTATCTGAAAGCCACAACTCCTGCTTTAACACAGATGTCACCATCCATGTTGGTTCCAATGCATGTAGCTATTTTTCAGCCGAAATAATACTCACTCTCAAATTGAGCTAGCATGGAATTTTCATATTTGATCATAATGATTATTGAATAATTTTTTGTGTATGAATCTGATTGAAAAATTATATTTGACACATTACCTGTGTCACGATGGGGAGGATTTATTTCTAATTTTAACTGTGGAAGACTAATGCATTTCCATATCTGTCATGCCTGAAATGATTATAATCAAATTTTAAATATACATTAAGATCTTAAAAAATTCATCGAAGTCAAGCTTTTCTATCATTGTATAGCTACATATAAATGTGGATGATTTCATTCGTTGGTTATTTCTGTTCTCTACAGGTCTGTCGAAAAAAGAATCACACCATTAGCCGCTCTGAGTTGAGTAAGCTGTTGGGTTTCACTCTTGCCCGCATGAAGGAAAAGGTTCAAATACTAAATGTTTGTGATTCAATTATATACAGTGTGTTGTTACCATCATCTGACAAAATTAATTAACATTTATCGGCATAATTAATTGCATCACCTCTCAATATAAAAGCGTCTGTTTGTTATGAAGAATTTGTTCAAGTGTTGCAAAAAGATTATATTTCTACGCATATCCGTCAGTCGAGTGATTCCTCACTGGTATACAAATTTTGTACACACCAAAATATAAAATTGTTGTTTTGAATTACTAAGAATACTTTACTTAATTCATTCACACCATGTGTATCGGATCACAACAGAGTGAACGCATAATGAAACAACTGTTGCTAATCACATATACACATGTACTTTAATCTGCTAGGCACGAGAGCTGTACAAGAAGATCAACCTAGGAGATACGCCCAATTATCATTCTATTATCCGAACACATGTTGACTTGGGTACCATACAGCAAAAAATTGATGACAACAAATATCGCTGCTTGGATGAATTTGAAGGCGATGCTGATCTCATGTTGCACAATAATAAAGTATATTTTGGTCCTGAAAGTGAAAGAGTTGAGCTGTGTGATATGGTGGTGGAAGACTGTAAACACGATGTAAGTTTTCAACATGACTTCGACAAAGCATTGATGCAAATAACCATCAATATAGTAATGGGGTCACTGATTCAGTCTCGTTTTTGCTGATTAATTTACTCTAGACCTAACAATTAAAAAGGAATATTCACAACATTAATAGTGAAGAGATAAATATTGAGTCATCACTCAAATATAGCCTTGGAGGTCATTGGCACTTCAAGAGAATTTATTGTTTAATGCTATCACTTTTGTGTAAATGTAGAAACATTTTGTTTTTATTAATGGTTTTCAGAATGTCAATTCATCAGATTTAAGGAATTAAATATATTTTCATGAATTATATCTTAAATATTTAAAAAAAAAATTTTTTTCAAGAAATGTAGCCAATGTTCATTTAAACCAAAAAAAAAAATGCATAAAAGGTACAAAATTTGGCCTTCAAGAATGATGATGTTCAAAGCGTAAGTTTTATGCTATTTTTGTAAATTTGTATGATAATTAGATTCATTTTTTTAAATACTGTAGAATACTTTATTTTCGCTTGGAATTTATTTTCGCTATTTTCGCTGAATGGATGATTCCGTGAAAATAAAATCCAGCGAATATACTTTTTTTCCTATATTTCACATTAAATTCATCAAAAATCAGTGAAAATAAGTTCCATACAAAATGCCCAAAAAGCCTTTTCAGCGAAAATTAATTCCAGCGAAAATAAAGCATTCCACAGTACAACATAAAAAGTGATTCAAGCTTCTGTCATGACCCATTTTATAAATACAACACTGAATATTCCTGAATTCATTTTTAAGACTCAGCTTTGCATGCAATATCTATGTGGAGATTGGATTATTCTTTCATTTTACAACATGCAACTGACATTGTTTGAGATTTTTTTCTTTTTAATCTTTCAGTTAAATGAGATTCGTCTCTGCAAAGATTGCTACAAAATGTCAAATTGTAGATCATCCAAAGACTGGTTTTGTCGGCCATGTGTAAGTAAATTTGGTATTCAATCAAATGTCATTGTCTGTCTTCTTGCTGAATTTTATTTTTGTAATAAAATGTTCAAGTGTCACTGATATCTATCTCTTCAGGGCTAAAATTCATCAAAATCAATCATTTTTGCCATTCTGCAACCATTTCTTGATTGAGTATGAACAAGTTTTATTCAAACTCGGTTACATACATTAGGTGTTATGAGACCTTGATGCAAATCATTTTGTTTCTCAGATCAGATTTAAAATTGCTACCTGGCGGCCATTTTGTTTTAACAAAGTTGGTTCATGAGCTATATCTCAGACATTTCCTGACCAATGATGTTTAAACATCATTGGTCATGTTACACATATTTGACAATTTAATTCAAGTTGCCCGAATGGTGGTCATTTTAATGTTAAAAATCAAACCATCTAGAACTAGATCTTGGTTTTGTACAGACGGATTTCATTCAAACTTAGTACAATCATTGGACACCTTTGTCGAGCGGAGCTTATCATATCAGTGATTGTCCGTCGTCGTCCGTGTTAATGTTTTACTTTTTCGACTTCTTCTTGAAAACTACAAGCCTGAATGCTTTGATACTTGGTGTATATGTACCTTGGGTAGACCTCTCTCAGATTTGTTCATTTCATGATCATATCTTCAATTCTCTAATTTTGGTGAATATTTTTGTCATTTTTGGTAAAAAGTGATATTTTCGACTTCTTGTTAAAAAACGCAAGTCCAATTGCTTTGATATTACATATATAGGTACTACATGTGGATCTCTCTCAGATTTGTTCATTTTGTAATGATAGCTTCAATTCTCTAATTTTGGTGCATATTTTTGTCATTTTTGGTAAAAAGTGATATTTTCGACTTCTTGTTAAAAACCACAAGTCCAATTGCTTTGATATTACATATATAGGTACTAAATGTGGACCACTCTCAAATTTGTTCATTTCATGATGATATCTTTAATTTTCTAATTTTGGTGAATATTTTTGTCATTTTTGGTAAAAAGTGATATTTTCAACTTCTTGTTAAAACCCACAAGTTCAATTGCTTTGATATTACATATATAGATACTACATATGGACCATTCTCAAATTTGTTCATTTCATGATGATATCTTCAATTCTCTCATTTTGATGAATATTTTTGTCATTTTTGGTAAAAAGTGATATTTTCTTCTTGTTAAAAACCACAATCATTTATGGTCAAAAATGATATTTTTGAATTCTTGTTGAAAACGGCAAGTCCCATTGCATTGATACTATGCATATTGTTCATTTTCAAATGATATCTTCTGTTCTTTAATTGATATGTGCATTGCTAACAGCGGAGCTATCTCAGCCGAGAGCTGCTTGTTTTGTTTTTCATATCAGATTCAAATTGACTGACTGACAGCCATCTTGTTTTAATGAATGTTATTCCAGGGCTATATCTCCAACATGCCCTGGCCAATAATGTTCAAACTTTAAATGTGTGTCATACATAATATTACACATGTGTATTTTTTTGTTCATTTGGTTATCTGATTAAAGATGTCCAAATTGTGGTTGTTATTTATCAGAATCAAGCATTTCTGCAATTCAGATTTGGATCTCAGTTATGCATGAATGGATTTAGTTCAAACTTGGATCACACCTTGAATGTCAGATTGAACTCAAAATGGCCGACTGGTGGTCATTTTATTTTTGTGAATATCTCAATGTCAAAACCAAAGTGATATGCCTTTGCTAAAGCTTAATCTGTGTTTGCTATCTTCAGAAATTGAGCAACAAATTGATGTTAAAATACCCATGATTACACCCTACATGTATGTCTACATTGTATTATTTTTATTTTGAAACAGATTCAGAATTTGTTTCCTTCGTAGCTAACTCTGTGGCATACAAAATGATGCGAACATTTGCATATAAATAGGCCACTGCTTTTGCACGCACTTGTACCAAAGTCTTGAATGAAGTTGTTATGCGTTCTGTTTTAAAATGACATTCTTGGAATAACAGTAAGGTCACATTTGTTTCAGAATCCTGCTCACGAGTTAGTATGGGCTCAGATGAAAGGTTTTGGATACTGGCCAGCTAAAGTGATACAGCGAGACAAAGACCAGGTCGATGTCAGGTTCTTTGGTGGTCTTCATCAAAGGTATGTCATTGAATATTAAAAGCTGCTAAATACTCTTGATTTCGCTCTCACTGTTTCTCACAAAAATTATGGACTGCTGTTATTCCGTAACTCTTTTTATAGTATAGTACTTTCCTTTTTTATAACTTTCCTGTCATCCAAATTGCAGTTTATATATATTATATATATAATAATTCTTGTTTTTCAGAATTGTGTTAAACATTCAATAAAATAATTCTCAATATCAGACAAACGTATTTATACATGTATATGTATATATGATAGGTTACATAATACATGGTTTTCGTACTACCACTTGGGCAGTGTGGGAAATGAGCCAGTACTAATTGACTGACTAATTCCAAAATACACCAAAACACTGAAATTCAAACTGTATTTTGACACATGTAGGGCTTAACTGCTGCTGTTTTGCGATTTGATTCAATGTGCTTATCGGCAGCATTTTAGTTTTGTTATTCCACAATCTGATCTCAGTTGTGCATGGACAGAGTTTGTTTACACTTAGTACATTCAATGAACATAATGGAATCTTGATGCACATTTTTTCAGATCAGATTCTGAGTGGCCGTCTGATGGCCTTTTTTTTTTTTTTTCATGAATCTTGTTTTGGAGCTATATCTGACAAAATCCAATCACATTCAAACTTTATACATACTTTTAAATCATACATGACATGCACTGGTTTCTAGGTCTAATTGAAAATGGCTGACTCAATTCACAGGGACTGTCATAACTTTATCTGACATAGACAAGACATACCGTAACAAGAAATGAGTTAGTTATCATCAAATCCTATATTTTTTTTTTTAGAGCATGGATATCACAAACTTTTATCAAAGACATCAACACAAACATAAAGTCATTGAGAATTAAAGCCACTCCCGGCTGGCACAATGCATGCAGGGAACTGCGGAAACACCAAGAATACTTTCAGAGTACACAGAAGAAGAAAACCGACAAATCGGAGAAGATTCAGAAGACTGGAAAAGTACATAAAACTCACAAGACCCGCAAAAGGAAGAAGAAAGAGACATCCAACGCATGCACAGCTCAAGACGATGCAGTGTCAAGTTCAAATGTAGACCCAATACAAGTATCTGTAAGTTTAAATTGTTCTAAAGTCAGATGTGTGTTGATATTTGGATTATTGGGAAGTTAATTTTATTATCTGAGAATCCATAGTGATGTCCATTTTTTTTATCAAGATTGTTTTTTACAATCAACTGTTTTCACATCCACACCACGGCAGATTAATTTTCTTATACAGTTCAATCTGTACTTGGTATTGTAAAGACTATTAATTCATGGACTTGAATCAATTAAGAACAAATATATATTTGATGTGTTCAAAAAGGAACAAAAGTATTTTTTTTCTGCTATTTATTTGTTTTTGTGGCACAAAAAATATCACCCATGTGCTTAAACATCTTCCATGGGCGAACTTTTGCACTGGGCATTCTTAGTCTGCAGAATACTGTAAGTGAAAAAGAAAAAGAAATGACAGTGACTAAAACTCGCTTCAAGAAAAGTACAATATTTGCCATATTAAAAGTGCATTTTTTTTATTCATCTACATGCACTTTCATAACAAATGAGTTTTAGTTTCAATATGGTAATGATTAATTGAAACACCACATGCACATAATGAACTAAAATAAATCACTCTCGCAACCAGGAGAATGACTGTGACGTGTCAGATTAGTCTGGCAATAAAACAAAGCACAGTGCTGGAACAGTCACACTGTCTATATCCCTGGGAGAACACTGCTTGTTATATCTCTGTTATATGTTGTTGTGGTTATTGTAGGCCTCTGATCAGCATCATGTGACATCAAGTCAGGATTCCCATCACTGTTCTCCAGCAAGTAACGAAAGTCAGCCACCAACAAAAAGGGTAGGTTTAAAGTTGTAATGTCTCCTTTGTTTGTTATTTTCTGGGATTTTATTTTGAAATTCAATAATTCAGAAAGTTAAGGAGCCTATGTTTTGGTTATACATATTTAAATGTCATTAAATCAAATGGTCAGTCAGCCTGTGTATGTGTTCTATAAGTAGATTGGTTGGTTTTCTGTGATGGAAGGGAGGCAGGCTTGCTGATTGGTGCAATTACAAGCTACTAAATACTACTGTGACAATGTTGTTTATTACTAAGTGTAATCTAGCTTTCTCTTCTATTTAAACTGCTCTGAATGTTTACTAGAACAAGAAATGGTGTATATTAGCAATTTATATTCTCACATCAGTAAACCACTGATATAACACAATTGATGTTCAAAGCATTGATTTCAACTGTTCACACTTGTAATTTGTTTAAAACACTAACATTATTATGTCTGCAGCGGAAGAATACAACAACTAGTAGCCATTCCAACAGCAACACAGCCAACAACACCCCTTCTACTGAAGATTCCAATACATCCAATGCATCAAGCCCTGCTAAGTGTGACTGCCATGAGAAATATAGCACCATATTTGCTGATTTCAAAACGCGTCTTGAAGAAGATCATGAGAAAGAACAGAAAGAGACTGTCAAGTTTGCCCTTGATAAGGTATAACATACACTGTTGTACTATATTTTTTTAGTGGCACACAATATACCCTTTCAGATTATATGATTATGACAACAATTTTAGTCCCACATATTAAACATGTTATACTAGTATATATTTTTCTATAATTTTTGGTCAAATGAACATTATTTCTCATACGCTGTGCAGGTCTTGACAATATAGGAAAAAAATTATGCATACAATTTTTAACTTCTAAGGGTTGAATACTGTATACTGAAAATTATTTTTTTGGAAAGCATAAAAAAAACTCTCGCAATAATAACTTATTTGGTCATCTCCAAGATTCATCAGTTTATCATTATTTTTCATACAGTTGAGGGAGGAAATGGAAGCCGACAAACAACATACTGTGTCAAAGGTCAAGGAAAACATGATGCTTGAGATTGAAAGAGCAAAGAAACAGATCAAAGAGAAATGCAAGGAAGAAAATGATGAGGAAACCAGCAGATTAGAAGCCAAATATAAAGAAGAAATATCTCAGACCAAGAAAAAACAGTGGGTACGTCAGATATGTGCAACTAACTGCAGTCATCTGAACATCTTTATGTGTACCATTTGCTTGTCATGTTGGTCATCATATTACTGCAAAATTACTAATTTTCATTGGGTTTAAATTTCACTAATTTAGCATTTCAGGCATATTCAGTGGGTTTTAAATTCATGGTTTTATCATTTAGATAACATGTTTTATGCTCAATTTTTAATTTAGTACATTTTCCAGTCAGCGAAATAAGCAAAATTAAAACCCAGTGAATAATTAACCTTTTTACAGTATGTTGCAATGTTAGTGACTTAGGCGAGGGTTCTTCGAACCCGCCTATTCACATAGTTCATACCCACCATAGACTCCGGTCAGTCAAAATGACTATTTTGAACTGTAGGCATTAATCAGCGATTCTGCCGGTGACTGAAAGATAGAATCTAGGTCAGGGGAAGCCCCAATGACCTCAGATCTTTTACCCCTTACGTCACGAACCCACGTGACCGAGCCACATGGCAACGCCAT